CTCTCTCTCTCACACACACACACACACACACACACAGGTTGCATGTGCATTCGATAGACCGCCATGAAAAATACAGGGTTTTTATGATGATATTGTTGTCAGATTTTGACGGTTTGTCATGAATTGAAATGTATTCTTGACATTCTTTGGAGATTTTCCTTTTGATCAGGAGCTGTATTTCCATGATGAGAAAAAAGCTGGGAAATGTTGAATGTGGATGCCGTATATACAGTAGAAAGTCAAACTAAACGGCCGTCGTATGGCTGAATCTTTGTCTTCAGATGGTTTATAAGCAGATTCGGCATTCAGTGTTTTATTTGTTTTCCTGTCTTTGCTTTCGTCCACTTTAGTGTTGATTGAGTTCAGAGAGCAGGAGTATTTCATCAAACTTCCTAAAGGTCCAGTTTGTAAATTTTCTTTCTGATTTATTTTCTCCTGAAAAAAGAACAAAAGTATTAGTTTAGCATCTCTACTCACCGAGTGAATCTGAGCGATTAGACAAACAGATGTTAATGTAGATGACTTGTCTCTATGAGTTAGTCTGTGGTTTCTGTCTGCTGTTCACATGAATAAGCAGTGAACTGATTAGTTTTTTTCTGCAATGCATTGTGAATCTTTTGATGTTATATGTTGCTTCAGATGCTCTTTTCTCTATGTGTAGGAAAAACTTGATTATAATGAATGGATTTTGTCTTGATGGAACTAAAGCAAACGCTCCTCTAGAGCTCAAAACACTGGCAGATGTATGTGTGTGTGTGTGTGTGTGTGGGGCCAAGTTCAGAACTGAAGAACTGGCGCTCTTTCCATTCATGAGTGTGAATTGAATTGAATTGAATTGAATTGGCCACTGCTCACAGGAAGTTGAATTGGAAATATAAATAGATCTGTTTATGTATTGATCTGTGAGGCCTGGAAACTTCAAGGCTTTTGAAACTTTCTAACAAGCCAACATTGAAAGATTGTTTTTGCTTTTCTAGTTCAAAATGACAGTCATATGAATTTCTGTGAATTTCAGTTCATTTGAATTCTGTTTCCTTATTTAAACTCAACATTCTGTTTGCTACCTCAATCAAAACTCAATTTAGTATCAGGAATTTAATTAATATTGAAAGAGTGTGAGAACTAAATGAGTGTGATACGTGATTGCATTCATCAGACACATCAGAAAACAATCAGAGGCGTTGCTATGACAACTGCATAGCAACACCCTAGCAACTACATAGCAACTCCCTAGCAGCCACTGGATAATTGTGACTAGATTATGTTCATCAGACACATCAGAAAACCATCAGGTGTGTTGCTGTGACAACTGCATAGCAACACCTTAGCAACCGCATAGCAACATCCTAGCAACTGCATGTAAACACCCTAGCAATCACTGCAGCATTGTGACTAGATTGCATTTATCAGCCACATCAGAAAACCATCAGAGGTGTTGCTATGACAACTGCATAGAAACATCATATCAACTGCATGGCAACACCCTAGCAACCACTGGAGCATTGTGACTTGATTGTGTTTACCAGTCACATCAGAAAACCATCAGAGGCGTTGCTATGACAACTGCATAGCAAGCCACTGAAGCATTGTGACTAAATTATGTTCATCAGACACATCAGAAAACCATCAGGTGTTTTGCTGTGACAACTGCATAGCAACACCTTAGCAACTGTATAGCAACATCCTAGCAACTGCATAGCAACACCCTAGCAACCGCATGTAAACACCCTAGCAATCACTGCAGCAACAACTGCATAGCAACACCCTAGCAACTACATAGCAGCTCCCTAGCAGCCACTGGAGAATTGTGACTAGATTATGTTCATCAGACACATCAGAAACCATCAGGTGTGTTGCTGTGACAACTGCATAGCAACACTTTAGCAACTGCATAGCAACATCCTAGCAACCGTATGGCAACACCCTAACAATCACTGCAGCAATGTGACTTGATTTTGTTTACCAGTCACATCAGAAAACCATCAGAGGCGTTGCTATGACAACTGCATAGCAACTCCCTAGCAGCCACTGAAGCATTGTGACTAAATTATGTTCATCAGACACATCAGAAAACCATCAGGTGTTTTGCTGTGACAACTGCATAGCAACACCCTAGCAACCGCATGTAAACACCCTAGCAATCACTGCAGCAACAACTGCATAGCAACACCCTAGCAACCGCATGTAAACACCCTAGCAATCACTGCAGCAACAACTGCATAGCAACACCCTAGCAACCGCATGTAAACACCCTAGCAATCACTGCAGCAACAACTGCATAGCAACACCCTAGCAACTACATAGCAGCTCCCTAGCAGCCACTGGAGAATTGTGACTAGATTATGTTCATCAGACACATCAGAAACCATCAGGTGTGTTGCTGTGACAACTGCATAGCAACACTTTAGCAACTGCATAGCAACATCCTAGCAACCGTATGGCAACACCCTAACAATCACTGCAGCAATGTGACTTGATTTTGTTTACCAGTCACATCAGAAAACCATCAGAGGCGTTGCTATGACAACTGCATAGCAACTCCCTAGCAGCCACTGAAGCATTGTGACTAAATTATGTTCATCAGACACATCAGAAAACCATCAGGTGTTTTGCTGTGACAACTGCATAGCAACACCTTAGCAACCGTATAGCAACACCCTAGCAACCGCATGTAAACACCCTAGCAATCACTGCAGCATTGTGACTAGATTGCATTTATCAGAAATGCACACATGTAGCATGATGCGGTTTTGACTAAATATGAATCACCACGTTCGTATTCTGATGATGGACATTAGAGTCTTATGTTAAACAGCTGCTGATAATTTCATCATGTTTATTGTGTTCAGCTCTGGCTGTTAATGCCGGTTTGTTTGTGCAGTTTTGAGTGCAATAAATTGCTTGGGTTATTGTGTTCTGATAAAATAACTTCTCTGCACAGAGATTTCATCCATTAATGCATTTGCACGCATAAACACATGCACATTAGCAGACGGGCTAATACACACACACACGACATACACTTTAATGGAAAAGACAATTTCAGACTGGCAAAAAAATAAAAACTGATTGAAAAATTATTTTCTACAGAGATGCAAATTAACTGTCGGGCTTAAAAATATATTGGCTTTTTCCCGACAATGACTAATCAAATGTGAGGTCCCAACAGGTGGCAGGCGGCGGCTTCTGGCTTAGTTATGGCACTCGCCTCATATTAACATGCATTGATTTTCCTACATTTTTTCCAAAATGCAGCAATCCGTCAAAGTCGGCCCGCACCGGGCGCTGTGACAGCTCAGCTGCAGACCTGCTGACACACAATCAGGCCGGACTTCTCAGGAGGATTTCTCCAATGAGCCAGCGTTAATATAACACGTCCTGTCACGGTGCCGGTCGCGCAGGAGAAATGCTTCGATCACTCAATCTCTGACTGGGATGCAGGGAGATTGATAAATGCTGGAGACTGTAGCGGTTGTCCATCGCTCTCTCGTCTTACTGTCCTTCTGTCTTTTCGATTCCATGCAAATGTCCTCGGCTGTGACAGTTTCCTTACAACAAGTTGTAGGATTCACGTTTTGCATTTCAAATCAAGTTGTGCATTAGAAAAAATGTTCAATTCCAACCAAGCACACGCTGACGGGAAAGAAATGGATGTCATTGCATCTATTCAACTAGTGATTTGGTAAAAGATTTCGTAAAGATAGTTTCCACAATAAGTCGAGCTGATGAATTGATGTGGTTCAGATCAATTTTGTTTGCCATCAGTTCAACAATTTGAATCCTTCTCAACTGATATCATGTGATATACACCCCTGTTCAAAAGTTTTTTTTTTTTTTTAGAAGAAATAAATACTTTTAGTTATCAAGGATGCATTACATCAATCAAAAGTGACAGTAAAGACGTTGATAATGTTGCAAAAGATTTGTATTTCAAATAAACGCTGTTCTTTTGAACTTTCTATTCATCGAAAAATAAAATGTATCACAGTTTCCACTAAAATATTGGGCTGCACAACTGTTTTCAACATTGATAATAATCAGAAATGTTTCTTGAGTAGCAAATCAGCATATTAGAATGATTTCTGAAGATCATGTGACACTGAAGACTGGAGTAATGATGCTGAAGATACAGCTTTGATCACAGGAATAAATTACAGTTTAACAGAGATTTACATAGAAATCAGCTATTTTAAATTGCAATAATATTTCACAATTTTTACTGTATTTTTGATCAAATAAATACAGCCTTGGTGAGCAGAAGAGACTTCAAAACTTCTGAACAGTAGTATGCATCTAAGATATAAGCATCTGATTAACAGTAGTTGTATATTAGTAATTTGGTCACAGTTTATTTTGGTTTGGATGAGAGATGGAGAAATAGAAGGTGTGTTTGTGATGATTGTTATCTTTTAAAATCAACATGAAATCAAAACGGACCCTTTTTTCTTT